ACAAGCAGCTGAATTCAATCAGCCTCAGGCAGAGCGCAGACTTCACCTCCCAGTTTCCCCACATGCCAGAGTGGCATGGTGACATGTGACTGTCCCGCCCAGCCCTGCAGATGTGTCTGTCATCAGCAGTGGAGCTTCCCTGCCAGGATCTAGTAATGTGCTTCCCACTGCCGCCAACCGCAGGGGCCCCAGACCCACTGGTTCCAGGGGGTAATTTTTAAACTTTTTTCTTTCAATTTAAAATTAAAATCAAAGCACCATCTGTTCTATGAAACTGCCAGGCCGGGGAAATGAGTGTGATCAATGGCCTGGGTCTTGTTTAGACCACTTAGTGACGTGTCCAACACCATGCCATGTGTGTCTTTCATAGCTTTGATCAAGAGCTTAGCATTTGTGCTTGGGGGGTGGGGTGGGGACAGCAGTGGGGCAGGGGCTTGGAGGTGTGAATATTTCCATTTCCTGTTCGTTTTACACTCTCATTTGGCTAGATCCCGGATGCACACACTGTATGGTGTATCATAAGTAGTGTTTGCCTCCCACAGAGTACAAGCCCTGCCTGCTAAGCAAAGCTATTCGTTTGCACCAGGCCCTGGGTGACTAGTTGCTTCATTGTTGATGGCGTAAGTAAAGGGAAGAATTTTTGGAGAAAAAAAAAAAAGACTCTAGGGATGGGATATATGTGTTCGTGGACATACGTTAAGCTGGATGAAGTGACAGCCATGAGGTTCTCATGAGCTGTCATGGGAGGTTGTGCAAATAGTTCAGGTGTCCGCTATCCCTGGCTCGGTCTCCTCAACCAACCACAATTCACTGTGTCCCCAAGCTGTCCTGCAGCCCTGACCAGCCCTAGAGATAACCAGACCAAACATCTCCAAGCTGGGACGGGCTCTGGTCGTGGCTGGGGGTTTGCTCAGAGGCTCAGACGTGCTAGAAATATGCATGCGCCCAGATCCTGAAGCTGGTGCCATGCCTGAGACTCATTAGAAAGTCCTGTGATCGTTGTTCCCCTGGAAGATCGTTGAGAAACCTGTTCTCAACTCCACACATTTCTGATCGATTCAGGCATCACTAAGAATTGTTGAACACCAGCTTCCCCCCTGTCCTTTGAGGTCGGTGTATCTAGTGTTCAAGCGTGCCATTGTTCATACTTTATCACTGTTCGACCACGTGATTATATTTGCTAGGCTGTCGACAAGTAAGCCTTATGTCTGAGATGAAGGCTTTATTCTCTATTTACTGAATTAAAATTTTCCTCCATCTATTAGGAAATTCCAAATAGCCTTACAACAATATCTAAAGACATCCAGAAACTGTGCTTTCATTGCTCTTTATTTACCGCGCAATCCTTTGCCCAATGACAACTACCGTTAAGTTTTACTAACACTGAAGTTTGCATCAATCATTCGGATGCTGTCTTTGAAAATCCTCATTTACTTCCTGTTGTTTAAGTAGGGACTTGGTGATTTTACCTATGAGAAAAAAAAATTGCACCCTCCAATTTCTTGGTGCTCCAAAATTTATAAACCATTCCATAATGTTACCTCATGTTTATATGTCAATAACACAGAGGTAGACAAGCAGGAATTATTATCTACATGTGACAGATGGGGAAACTGAGGCTTGCCCAAAATTGCTGAGCTGAATGATAAATGGTATAATCAGGACTTGAGCTCAAGCTTGTGCCTCTAAAGCCCACATTTTTTCCATTACCCCGTCCTCACTTCACCCTTGACCCTGGCCAAGATGAGAACAGAAGTGCGTGCCTGGAGAGGTGACATGGGTGGGTTGGTATGGATTCATCCATGCTCCCAGAAAAAAAATTACTCAGCATGCATGTCCTGGAAATGCACTGAAAGCTCAGTCCCCTCAAACAAGCACGTCTCCAGATACAACTGAGAGAACATTTAATGCAGAAATCATGTTTTGATAACTGACCAAAACTGTCTTGAAGTTTGGAATGTTAATATGTTAGACAAAGTAAAACAGCAAAGGACAGTAAGTTCTAGAATCTTGAAAGATAAATGCATGGCTGGGAAGAGGGGAGGGCAAAGAAGATGCCTCAAGTCCCAGAGGTCCCATCCCCATCTCTCCTCTGCCCCCCTTCACCAGCCCCTGTTGAGTTAGAAGTCATCCTAGGAGCCACTTGTGGGTCCCCAAACCCAGATTACAGTTCCCTTTCTTGATTCTTTTGGGTTATCTCATTTTAAAATCCAAAATATCTTCTCCTGTAAAGTACGTTCTATTTAGTTTCAGGTCAAGTACCAGCATTTCCAGGAAGCTGCCCATCAGCACTTCACCAGAACAGAAATCTGTTCCTCCTCTTCACTCCTCTCACATTCAGTCCCTTCCTTTTGCTAGACGATGACAGCCTGGAGGGTGGCCACCAGCTCATGTCTTAGTGGAGGAGGCATGGTCTTGGCCAAGGCCATGGCAGGAAGGTCAGACAGCTCTGGGACGGCCCTGGCTCTGTCAGTCCACAGCCCCAGGACCTCGAGTCTCAGTGGGGCTCCCCTGAGAGCCACATGTCAGAAGAGCTTGCTCAGCTGTGTCTGGATTTAGTTTTACAAAATAAGAACATGGATTAATTTACTTGTAACATCTATTCTTGATCACAACTGTTGCTTGGATATAAAATATGGAACAAGTCTCCCTTTCAGATGTCCAACAAATGTATAGAGAAAGTCTTGAGAGACAATGACCTCAGCTCTTGAAACTTGTAAACATCTCAGCAATCTTGCTCTCGCGGGGAGATCCTTCATTCTTCTTTCTCAAACTCGAAGCAGAACTGATGGCCATGTGTGTTCTTTTTGTTTGAAGTTGGGTTTTGTTGAGTCAAGGATCTTCTTCCAGGATCAGCTCTTTCCTTAATGAAATTAATATTTCTCATGAAATGCTTTCATGCAAAAATATTGGGCTGCCTGGGGTCTGTATGTTGTTCCTGGAATGCTCTGCAGGAGGAGAATTTTAGGAAGGGGCAACCATAATCCTCCCCTCCCCAGCGGTGTGGGGTCTTTTCTGGCTTTACACTTCCTTGGTGCAATTACAGAAGATGTGTGTGTGTGTGTGTACGTGTGTGTACTTATGCTCACACACCACACACACATACACACACACACACACACACACACACACACACACACACACATACCTTTGACTCCTTTAAGTTGAGGGATGAAAGACAGCCTTGAGCATTTGCACTATTGCCTTAGTGTATTTGTTTAGTTTTGTTACAGAGGCAAAAAATAGAGGACAGCTCTCCCCACCTGTGGTCGGGGCAAGTGGCTGTTGCATTTTGCGACTTCCCTGAGAGTGCCCGTCTAGCCCTGGAGCCTGCTGGCCTGCATCTCACAGCCCCGTCAGTGCTGTTGGAGTCCAGGGAGCCCCAGAATTTTCACCATCTGCTAGGTGAATCCTCGGGTAGCAGGTTTCTGTAAAACATGCATTCAGAACATGAAGCCATCCTCTCTGAAGCCTTCATCGCTACACCTCCTGCACGACTCTGCTCCTAAATGCAGGCAGGAGCATGAAATGCACTTAAAGCTCAGTCACCCCAGCCAATGGGGATCCAAGATCTTGTGCACTGGGTGGGTCCTGTGAGGAAAACTAAAGGAGAGTTTAAAAGTCAGACGGCCATAGGGCTGACCCAGCTTGGAACTGTGGCCGCGGGAACAGTAACCACAGAGGAGTCTATCTGGGGTGCAGAAGGAGTAGAGGCAAGAGTTACAGAGGAGCTGAGGTCGTTGTGGGAGAGGCAAAGTGTGCAGCTGGAGCATCATTACTGAGTTCCAGTCTGGCACCGCCACATATTAGCTGTCACTTAACCACTCTGTGCTTCTGTTTCCTCATCTGTGAAATGGGGATGATGATGGTACCTCTTCATAGGGTGTTGTGAGTGAATTAATGAATTAGTGTTTAGTGAATTAATATATTAAGAATCGTACCTGGCACAGAGCAAGAATTATCCGTCTGTTAGCTATTATTACTGCTGCTACCTTTACTACACTATGGTGGTGATGATGATGATGATGATAATGATGATGATGATGATGATAATGACATCATTAATTTAATACTATCCATAAGGATCATGTCTTGAGTTTAGAATTATAATAGCTATTAAATTTAAATTATACTTCATAGCATCCTTCCTTGCTAGTCTAATTTCTGGATCACCAGAGATAAATTTTCTCTCTCTCGTGAGTGAAAAAATGCCTGTCTGTAAGAATGAACTACTTTATACCTATCAAGTGTTTACCTGATGGGCTCAGATCAAGCCATTCTCCCGACAGGCCTGCATTGCTCTCAGATGGCCCTTTTTCTCAGTTCCTTAGTCTCTTGGGATACGTTCTACCAACTGCTCAGTGATTATTTTTTATTTAGAGTTCATTGTATGTGGATGGATACTTATTGTATGTGGATGGATACTCATTGTATGTGGATGGATACTCATTGTATGTGGATGGACACTCATTGTATGTGGACGGACACTCAATGTATGTGGATGGACACTCATTGTATGTGGACGGACACTCAATGTATGTGGATGGACACTCAATGTACGTGGATGGACATTCGTTATATATGGATGGACACTCATTGTATGTAGATGGATACTCATTGTATGTGAATGGATACTTATTGTATGTGGATGACACTCAGTGTATGTGGATGGACACTCATTGTATGTGGATGGACACTCTATGTGGACGGACACTCATTGTATGTGGACGGACACTCATTTATGTGGATGACACTCATTGTATGTGGATAGACACTCATTGTATGTGGATGACACTCATTGTATGTAGATGACACTCAGTGTATGTGGATGGACAGGGCTCTCATGAAGAACATCGAGACACTCCCTGGCCCAGCAGTGTGTGTGGGAGATGGGCCTGGGGTGGCCAGTGCCCTGGCAGATTCCCAGGGCTCTAAGCTGGCAGTGGGTGCACCCAGGTGTGAGCAAACATTGAAGGCATCCCTTGTTGTTTCTTTCTTAGATGACTATGCCCAGCTGTGTAACATCCCTGTCACAGGACGCCGGCAGCCGTACGGCCGGGACGCCTTGGTGGACTTCAGTGAACAGTATGCTCCGGAAGCCGATCCCTACTTCATTCAGGACCGTAAGCAGACATTTTCGGTTACTTTGACACTAAATTGTGGTTCAAGATTAGCCAAGGGTTTTCAAAATGTAGTCCTGGGAACTCGTTAGAAATGCAGATCCTCGGGCTGCGCTAGACCTCCGAATCAGAAACTGGGGTGTCACGGCCCCTGGGCTAACCCTTCTGCGTCCAAATGTGAGAGCTGTTGGCTCAGATCTTAGTCTCGCTGGTGGGGATGCTGCCATGTTCACTATCTGTAAAGCAAATTACCTCATTACATTTCCGTAATAATCATTTTGTACCATTAAGTGGTGGTCTAGCATGAGGGTTTCCTTGAACGCCCAGTTAGATTTGTAGCTTTTGTCACACAAGGAAATGACAAAGGTGAACTGTACCGAGTTGCTCTTAGAAGTATCTTCGAGTGGGAGGTCAAAAACATTGCTCTCCTGGTCAGAAATTAATTTTTAGGATCCACTCGTTAGGGGATGTGTTAAGTAAGATACGATGTGTGCCGGCTCTTCCTGCATTTGTGAGTGGGGTTTTCTTGTGGGAGGTGGGGTGTGAGAACCCTACTCTCATTTAGAAAGTAACTGGTTTACCATGTGCAGCCCAGCGGCCTGGATGAGGAAGCCACAACAACTGAATGTTTCCGTGGGGAAACCAGAGCATTCACATGTAGACTAATTATCCGAAGTCTGAGAAACAGGACGGTCCAAAATGAAATATTAGTAGATAATAGGTTGTGTCACTTCGAGAACGGGAATAGGGAATCGCTGGTCCCAGCTGCCTGGGCCCCTTCCCACCCAGGGGCCCTCCTTGCAGGGAAGCGCTCTGCACCAGATTTTCAGGACGGAAGGGGGAGTGCAGGGGGTGGGAGTGAGGGGGACTTGGAGAGGCTGCTGACTCCCAAAATACAATGAAGCTTTTCCTTTCTTTGGGCCCTGACACCTGCACGTCAAACTAGCCATGACCTAGTCCCTGAGGGGCAATGCACGCTTTGTGATTGCACTTGGATCTACTTCAATTCTGAGTTGAAGAGTTTTTTTTCTTCCTTCCCTTTTCCTTCTCTCTTCTCTTTCCCCTCTCTCTCCCTTCCTTTCTCCTTTCTTTCCTCCCTTCTTTTTGTTTTTTGAAGGATGTAGTATATTGTTCATCCAGTAGAATTAGAGTGCTTTAAAATTTACATGAACAGCCCTGGCCAGGTACTGAGTTTATTAGAACATCATCCCCATACGCCAAGGGTGCGGGTCCCATCCCTGGTCAGGGCACATACAAGAATCAACCAATGAATGCATAAATAAGTGGAACAACAAATTGATGTCTGTCTCTCTCTTTCTCTCTCTCCCCCTCCCTCCCTCCCTCTCTCCCTCCCTCCCTCTCGTTAAAATCAATCAATCAATAAAGAATTTACATGAACACAGCATTGACACATCTGTGTAACCCCCATCCAGGTCTAGAACATTCCAGTATCCAGAGGCCCTGGTGCCCTTTCCTAGCCCACTCCCTGCAAGGGCAACCACTGTCCTGACTTCTAACACCCGAGATTTTTTTTTAATCAACAACACACAGCCATACACGGCCTCATGAAATGTGCGTAAATGCACCAGCAGCTGTAAGACTGTGCCCTTACGATTTCTACTCTTCTCTCTGTTTACATTATAGGTCGAGAAACATTTACCTTAAAAAGAGACAGAAAGGAAAAGAAAGGGAGAAGAAATATTAAGGTTGAAAGAAAGCCAGCTTACCTTCCCCATAAATCCAAAATACCAGATCAAGTCTATGTACAACTCCGACACAGCCCCATGGCTTATGTGTGTAGCCTCAATCGCAACATAGTTCAGATTTCAGGAAGTTCAATGTTGAAATGTTCTGGCTTATGTACCTTCTTTTTTCATTCTCACAGTGCCTTAAAACTCTTTTTTCATTCAGTACAAACCTTAAAAGGGGAAGAAGTTGGTATCACATCCAATTCCTATTTAGCAACATAGGTAGTTGAGATGTAGTTCCAGGACCTCCAGCTTTGACTACAAAATGGCCTTTAAATTTTGAACAAATTACAAGAAATAGCTCCTCCGTCTCAGACCAGGAGCAAGGGCTCCCTGGCCCTGCTGGAGAAATGATGGTATTGGGTAGATGGTAACATAGAGGGGAGGCTAAGGATTCTTATCACCTTTACGATTCGCCATCTCCTGTTTTCTAGTTATTTTCAAATGTTACTGATGGCTGGTGGTGCCTTTAGTTAGAGCAATAGCTATAAAGCTGTGATCTCCTAGAGCAAAAATCAACTTTTTCGTATAAGGACCAGATAGTGAAATGTTTAGGCTTTGCAGCCACAACCTCTCCGTTGCAGCTACTCAACTCTGCTGTGTTCTCATGAAAGCAGCAAGATGTACATCAGTGAGTGGGAGTGGCTGTGTTCCAGTAAAACTTTATTTATAAAATAGGCAGCAGGGACGGCACTGTGCTGACCCCGTCTTAGAGTCCTATGGAAGTATTTTGGGAAGTCTACTTGATATCTGTATAGGAGCTTCAAATTTAATTTCATGTTTTAATTTATAGAATAAAAAATGATTTGACTAGTTTTTAAAGTCAAAATGATTTTGCTGCAATACCTGGAAGTTGACTTTATTTTCTTAAGTCAGTATTTCTCAAACTGGCTAGGGGGCATCTGCTAACGTATTCCTGATGCCTGTAATATTTTTTTCCTTTAAAATTTTGTAAAAAGAGCCTGTAATGGATATATTACTACATTTTTTACGTCACCAAGTTAGACCTAGAGTCCTGTGTAAGCAATGATATGTTGCTGCCCCCTGCAGTTCCACTGGAGAATTACATACTTCAAAGGCCTAACAGTTTTGGCCACATTTTTATTTTTTTCTTACATTTTTTTTTCAACTACAGTTTACATTCAATATTATTCTGTATTAGTTTCAGATGTACAGCAAAGTGGTTCTAAAATCATGCACTTTATAGAGCGTTCCCCCTGCTGCTTCAAGTACCCCTCTGGCCCCCTACCTAATTATCACGATGTTATTGCCTCTATTCCCTATGCTGTCATCTACATCTCTATAACTACCCATTTTTCTGCTTAATCCCTTCCCCTTTGTCACAAAACCCAGCCCCCCAGCTCCTCATTTTGATTTTTCTTAAAGCTAATACTTGGTGAGGTCCAGAAGGTGGGGAAGGGATGAGGGGCCGCATCCACAGTGTGCTTGAGTCTTTTATATTTACAACTTCCTTCACTAGAAAGAAAGCTAGGCACTGTTGCTGCCTGGTTAGATTGTTTCTGTATTATTACACTGCAGCCCTGAGTCCGTTTAAAGCTATCTGACCTCAACAAGAGCGTCTTTGTTTCAGTACAAAAAGACTTTGGGTTTACTAGACACAGGCGCGATGTTCTTTTCTCATTTATCAGGATGTTTTGAGTCCCTTTTACTGCCTTTGTCCTTTGATCCCCAAGAGCCTTTTTGTCGGGCTCATTCCAAAGCCAGAGCAAACAAACAGAGCCGGCAGAGCAGCAGGGCCGGGGGCCTGGCCCTCCCTCTCCCGGGAACTCTAAGCAGAAGAAGCACCCCTCCAACTCTCCTGGGTGTTCTAAGCAAATGTCTCCTGAACGCCGATAACTTCACTGTTGGTTCCATGCTGAAAGATGTCCTGACATTTGCTAGTGAGAACTCAGGGAATTTGGAATTTTAGGGCAAAACCAAAAATCATACTTGCTGGAGCATCAGAATTCAAGATGTGGGGCTGATCTATACAAAATATCTAAAGTTTTTAATATTTTATGCTTCCTCTTCTGTTGCAGTTATATGCAGTGTTCACTTACATTTTAATGCTAACTTTAAAGTGTCTGAAATATGTCTATCTGGTGAACCGTAAGCATAACCATATAGTTTTTAGAAACGGTTTAAGAGGGTGAACATTTCTAACTCGGTGTCTGCCCTGTCGTTTCCAGGTTTTTTAAACAGCTTTGAGGAGCTTCAGGCTGAGGAGTGCGGCATCCTCAATGGCTGTGAAAACGGCCGCTGTGTGAGGGTGCAGGAAGGGTACACCTGCGATTGCTTTGATGGGTATCACCTGGACATGGCCAAGATGACCTGTGTCGGTAAGAATGGTGTCTTGTGGGGAACAATTCTTTTCCTGAGATCCCCTGTGGTCAGATCGCATACCCTCAAGTACATTTAAGACAGATTTGCAGAGTTTCAGTTTAGGAAAATGAGAAAAGTTTTAAAGATGGAAGGTGGTGATGGTTGCACAACAACACGAATATACTTAATGCCACTGGACTGGCCACTTAAAAATGGTTAAAAAGGCCATATTTATGTTCTGTATATTCTACCACAATTTTTAAAAAATAGAGGTGAGCCCGGACAGCATGCTCAGTAGTTGAGCATCGTCAACCTATGAACCAGGAGGTCAGGGTTCGATTCCCGGTCAGGACACATGCCTGGGGATGCGAGCTAGATCCCCAGTGTGGGGCATGCAGGAGGCAGCCGGTTGATGTTTCTCTCTCATTGATGTTTCTGTCTCCCTCTCTCTTCCTCTCTGAAATCAATGAAAACATATTTCAAAAAATAGAGTTGATATCTCATGTAAGAATTCCTGTAGAATTCCTCACATAGAGCCATTCCTTGACTTTGACTCTTAAATGTAGCTTTTGACTGTGCAGCCAGTAATGTTTCCCCTGAATACTTGGCCCAAGCATAAGGGAATGTAGATGTCTGAAAAAGTACAACTTCCGTGGTAATCATTTGGAAAAAGTGCCTCCTGACATGCTGTCGTTGCCTCCCCTCTTCTTTTTAAAAGAGCAGTAAACTCACACTTATCCTGCTCCGTGTGACCTCGAATGAACTCCAGACTGTTCCAGGGCCCTTTGGCCTCTATTCTAAACGGCCCTGGGCTTAAAGTTTTCTTCTATTTTTTGCAGTTCTTCTCCCTCCTGTAGTGTCCCCTTCCCTGTTGGTGAGTCTCCATCTGTGGTGGGTCTGGAAAGTAGGGAACCTGGGTTAGTACAGGAGTTGCAAGTGCGTAAGAGCCTTTCTTTCCGGTGGGAAGAAACCCAAGATGGTAATGTCAGCCTGAGGAGGGGCTGCTCAGAAGGCTGTCGGCTCACTGGTTTGCTCTTAACTGTGTTCCTCTTGACACATCCATCTGTTCTCTACCTGCGGAAAAGAATTCACAAGTGGGATAGTATTTCCAGATTTCTTGAGGTTTGACTGTAAAATGTCAGGCTAACAAATTGTTCGTGTTGTGTGAAATAACAGGAAAAGAAATTCTAGAATTCCCCCGATAATCTACCTTTGTAAGATCTAGAAAGTCTGACTTACCGTTCACGGGATGGAAATGGTCATGAATGGGAACGTTTCGGGGTGGGGGAAGGGAAGGAGAACAGCCAGGCTGTGTGCAGGCCAGTCGCCTCGATGCCTCGGTAGGTTGTGGGTTCCGTGTCCTCGCAGAGCACCTCAGAGCTGGTTCACCTGTGTGGTTTGGCTTCTTGCAGACGTGAACGAGTGCGACGAGTTGAACAGCCGGATGTCTCTCTGCAAGAACGCCAAGTGCATCAACACGGAAGGCTCCTACAAGTGCTTGTGTCTGCCCGGCTACGTGCCTTCTGACAAGCCCAACTACTGCACCCCGTTGAACACCGCCTTGAATCTAGACAAGGACAGTGACCTGGAGTAAAAGAAAATCTACATAACCTAAGCCCGTATACTCTGCACTGTGTAAAGGAAAAGAGAGAAATGTATTATACTTGAGACATTGCACCTCACCCAGAGTGTTGGAAACACAGGAGCAACGTGGTGTCATGTATCCTCAGAAGACAATGAAAGGATTTGGTGTGAGTCTGACCGGTGCAACAGACCAAATGGACATTTCTCTGAAAAACCAGTATATATAGTCTGTTCATATGTAAAATTCAGTGGAAAAAAGAGGCGGAGCAGTGCTGTTATTTTAAACAGAAGGTTGTATTATTATGTTGTCTTGTGTGTTTTTTTTGTGTTTTTTGGTTTTTTGTTTTTTGTTTTACTATTGCTTGATTAAATTTGGCATTTACATAGCGGTGGAAATATTTTATATAATTTTCATTTTTTTGGTTGTGCAGTTCCTTGGCTACTATTTTTCTTTTCCTTCAGATTTTTTTTTTTAAATCTCAAGTGCACAAGTTGTTGGTGAGATATTGTGAAACTGTTTTGTAAGTATTGTGACACAGGGTCACGTGATTCCTAGTTGGGAGCATTTTAAAATTCAGCTTGTCTGTCCTGTGGAGCAGGCAGTGATTTTGTTTCCACACTTTTATACACGTTTGGAGAAAAGTACTTTCTATTTACGATGTATTGTCTGATTCTAATGTCCATTCTTAGCCAAGCTGCTAGTAGGTGTCAGGTGGATCCCTCTTGTACATTGAAATGGAAGAACCAATGAACTCACATAGAATTGTAATGTGTGAAGTATGCCCAGCGAAATTTTTTGAAAACTTGATGATCCCAGCATATTTACCATTGTATGTTAAAGCAAAATAAATCACCATTTTTTTTAGAAAAAAATTCTACCTGAGAGTAATTGTCAATGAGTATACGTGTACAAGTTGTATCCCTCCCCCCACCTTTATTTTTAGCAATGGTCCCTAGTAATGTAGAGTTGTTGGCAAGCTAATTATTAAATGTGTTAGATACTTAAAGGGCTGGATTGTGTCCCCTCAAAATGCATGTGTTGATGTCCTAACCATACAGTATTTGTATGTGACTGTATTTGGAGAGAGGGTCTTTAAAGAAGTGAATATGGTTAAATGCGGTCACTGGGGTGGGCCCTATAGGAACAGAGTAGGACACACACACAGGAATGATCATAAGAAGACACATAGGATTCTTTGAGTTGCTTTTAGGAGTTACTTTTAAAGCCCAGTTGTCCTCCATGGGTTTGGGGTGCTGTGGCATGAAGAGACAGACACCTAGTACAGCACATGCCAGTCACTCATTATACTAATTATGCATAACCCATTATGCTAATCCATGTATTTCCCAGCTGCTTGAGTGAGAGTCAGGTCTCTTTCTCCATCGCTCCACAGAACAGGTCTCTGTACTTTAAAGTACCAATAACCAATAACATTCTATTCTTTTGTCATAATCATCAAACATCGTTCCCAAAACACTGGCGAGCTGCTGTAAACCTATGCAATTTGAAGTTACAAGGTTGATATCTGCCATGTTAGCTGAGAGGAGCACTAGGTACAAAGCCAGCAAACCAAATCCTAATTAAATATATCAAAGGTTTGCACAATTCCATCATTCATATTTCTCTAATAAATGTTTATAGGTTCAAAAGAATACTATAATTTAGCTGTGGTAGTTCTCACACACAAAGGACTGACTTACTCTAAAATGTACTTGAATTCTGGTAAATCTTAATGACCCAATATTGGCAGAAATTACACATCTGTTTTACTTAAGAAATGAGGTTTATGAACATTTTATTTGGGTCAACAGTTCAAGAAAACAGTTACCAAGCATGCCAATTCTGTATGTCCCTGCTTGTGAGGACAAACCATAACTGAATTTATGAATTATTCTAATAAATTGCAGCGATAAAATGACTATGATTCTATGCCCTAGCCGGTTTGGTTCAGTGGATAGAGCATTGGCCTGCAGACTAAAGGGTCCCAGGTTCAATTCTGGCCAAGGGCATATGCCCGGGTTGCAGACTCATCCTCCCCAGTAGGGGACGTGTAGGAGGCAGCCAATCAATGATTCTCTCTCATCAATGATGTTTCTATCTCTCTATCTCTCTCCCTTCCTCTCTGAAATCAATTTAAAAAATACCCTCTTCAACATTCAAATGAGAGTGACTTAAGTATAGACTAAAGCACCTATGATTTACTGCTCAAATCTTTGGTAAGAAGAAGAAAATAATGATGACTGTCACAGCTCAATATCAAAGTGATAGCCAATCACAACTATGAGCAAAAAAGGAATAAGGAAAAGTAAATCACAGTCTAAAAACACAGGAGACACTGCTCAGGGAAAAGAGCTCCCTAATTTAAGATAAAACATTGGTAGTCACCACGGGAATGTGAGATGCCTCTAACCAGCTTCCCCCTGTCTTTGAGAGTAGGATGGCCGTCACTGGTGGGGCAGAACCCACCTCCTGGAAGAAATCACTGCTTCCCTGGTCCTCAGAGCCTTCTCAGCCTTCTCTTCATTACTGCTCTAGACCCCTGCTGGTTCAATGGAACTTCCTGCGATGATAGAGAGGTTCTGTATGTGAGTTCCAGTGTGAACTTACTTGTACCAGGCATTGTGCTTGATGCTGGGACCATGGAGATGAAGAACTTTTGGCATTTGACCCACACCTAGCTCAGAAGACAGTTTGTGAGCCCAACTGATCATACTGCAATGAGGTAAGTAGTCCAGGGGAAGCTAGAACCGGGTGTTGTGGAAATAAGGAGGAACTTGTCGGTCCTGGCTGGGGAGTGGGGTGGGAGTTGGGGGTAGGGTAGAAGCCCCAGGGAGCAGATGAAATAATTAAGTTGTATGGGTCTTAAATTTTACTAGGAAAAAAGAAGAGAAAGCAACACAGCCACTTCACCTGTCCCTTCCTTTTTGTCACAGAATGTGCATCTGGTGCTGCATAAAGAGCACTGGACTTGGCATCTCCGATCAACCACCTGGGTCCCAGCTTCTGGCTCTTCCATGGCACGCTTTACTGTAAGACCTCAAAAAAGTCTATCTGTCTAGTCACTGTTTTGTCACCAGTGAAGTGAACTCTAAGGTCCCTACTATGTCAAAAATTGTCTCATTATTTGATTTCCCTTTTCTCAAATTGTCTTCTCTTTCCCAGTCTGATTTTTTAAAAATGTATTTTAGCAAGAGGAAGGGGAGGGGGGCAGAGAGAGAGAGAGAAAGTTTTTCATGGCACAGACCCTGCTACCCTCAATTCCTCATAGGTGTTGCTGAGAGCAGTCCCATAGACCTGCACACAGATTGTTTTCCCATTGAACAAACATTGCTATTTTGTAGGGTTGGATATCCATCACAGCAGCCTTGCTACCAAGGCAAAATACACCCAACAGCCAAAGTAGGATGCCTAAAGAGGAAAGCACAGAAGCACAGAGGGTGGAGAGAAGAAGTGGGAACTTACACTGTCTTGTCTCCAGGAAATATTAAATCCATAGGGAGTGTCTCAAGAACAGGTGAACAAATGGGTACTGCACACGTATCTCTACAGCATTTACGTTGTAATCTCAACATGAGGTCATTTGCATGGAAGGTCTGAGACCTCCATTATGAAATCACGATAGTTCTAGAGCTTGGATATCTTAGTGCCAAAATTTGTTTGGTTTAGCAATGATCCAACTAAATCATTGCTCCTTGCCAAACAGATAAATGTCTAAAATGTTCAAAATTTCTGTTGTCATGAGTCCATTGAAAAGTTTACCTTGAATAGTTTGTTTCCAATGTGACTTTTATATATTGATCAGAGCCATGCTAAACTGTCTTAATTGAACAATTTATCCTTAGATTACCCTGAGGTTTTATTGTATCTCGCGATAATGACAGTTTTTGTTTCTTCCTTTCAGTATTCATAGCTTTACATTTCTTGTCTACTGAACTATTAAGACCTCCAGTGTAATAATGAATTGTAGCGTGGTGATAGCAGGCATCTTGATCTTTAAGAAAAATCCTTTTATCGTTGCCCTATTTCAGTGATGGCGAACCTTTTGAGCTCGGCGTGTCAGCATTTTGAAAAACCCTAACTTAACTCTGGTGCCATGTCACATATAGAAATTTTTTTATATTTGCAACCATAGTAAAACAAAGACTTATATTTTTGATATTTATTTTATATATTTAAATGCCATTTAACAAAGAAAAATCAACCAACAAAATGAGTTCGTGTGTCACCTCTGACACGCGTGTCATAGGTTCGCCTTCACTGCCCTATTTGGTATGATGCACACTTAAGTTTTCATGTGTGCCTTTTACCGGGTGAAGAATGCTTCTTCCTATTCCTAATTTGCTAAGGAGGCTTAGTCTGAATATAAATGTTGAATTTATCTAATTACGTTGCAGCCAAAGAGAAATGTGTTTTGGTTTTGTTGTTTACAAGAATAAACCTCTAGCTTTTAGGAGTGGCCTTGGGCGCTGCCTGCCCACCTCCAAGGGTCTCAGCTGCCCCTCTATCATATGCGCATCTTGGCACCTAACCATGTTGTTGCCAAGTCCAGCTTCTGGTACTTTGTGTCTCAAAGTAAAGAAGATGAAGAAATCTTCAGGGGAAATCATCTACTGTGGCCAGGTGTTGGAGCAATGTCCCCTTGGGCTGAAGAACTTTGACATCTGGCTGCGCTACGACTCCCACAGTGACACCTGCAACATGTACCGGGAGTACCAGGACCTGACCACCCAGTGCTATGGAGACATGGGGGCCTGGCACCCTGACCACGCCCACTCAATCCAGATCCTGAAGGTGGAGGAGATCGTGGCCAGTAAGTGCCACCCACTGGCGGTCAAGCAGTTTCACGACTCCAAGATCAAGTTCCCCCTGCCCCACCGCATCTAGTCGCTAGCACCAGCCACACTTCACCACCAAGAGGCCCAGCACCTTCTTTTAGCTGCAGGGCCTCCCTGTCCCCTGGTCTGCCCAAATAAATTGCTTTGGAAAATCAAAAGAAAAAAAGAATAAACCTCTACGTCTGAAACATGCCCAAAGTGGCCTCTGTTTGAGAGGAATACCCAATGGGTCATCTAAGATTATATAAAATTTCCATTGATTAAGATATTAAAACCTTTTATTATGTTCCCCTTCAAGCCGGCAACTAAGTTGGCCAATTACTGGTTATTGTAACTTGGCTTCTCTTAAACAGCCTCTAACTCCAAGGGCATACCTTGGTGCAAAATTAAAACCATGAGTATATTGCATTTCTGAGGGGTTGGTCTAAGGAAACATTCAGTTCAGAGGCATAGGACAGACGAATTCAGTGCCCAAGCATCTAGGAAGCACAGAGCTGTATTATTTGCTCTGGCAGCATACATCTTCCCCACCCCAGCCCCACTGTACCCATATTAAAGGTGGAAGGCCTGACGATGTGGAAAGGGGGTAAGGGAAGGAGGAATAGAAAACAAGAAGGCAATAGCGGTAATAAGATCCCCTAGTGGCAGCGCACAGCAACACCAAACATCCAAGTGCAGTTAGTGTTGTCTGTCTCTGAGCCCATGGAGACATTGCTATAATCTTAAGGTCAAATTCTGTATGTAAGAATGCATTTATTAGTATACAGTTTTTTTTACTGTACACTAATATTCAGTGAAATATTTACTTTTACTCTATGTAGGAGTGTGAAGTAAGTATTCTTTCATATTTTCTTGCTGTATGTTTTGTGCCAAGTTTGTACTGACTCCTTTGGCTACTGTATAGAAAATTGTTCTATGTATTCTGTTTTGCTAGTTATTTGTATTAGTTTTTATAAAAATTTATTTGTATTAAAATTTATTTCACGTTATGATTTACTTTTGGTTTCCAGGATTTGATGGAAGATCATA